GGGCCAAGACTTGGTTGCATGGGCGCCATGGCTGAATCACGGGGTTGGCCATGAGCTTGAGCTTCTCCACTGCCACCAGCACCTCTGCCACCCCTTTCCTCAGGTCCAGACATTGTCGAAACTGCTCCAAGGGGCTCTGATACCACTTGTTATAGTCACAATAGGCTTGAATGTGCCTAAAACGAAAGATAGAGAGCATAGACGGATTTCTGCACAGCGGCTTCAAACGTTGATAGCGTTCTGCTCACAGCTGCAAATGACTTGATTCAAATTGGATCTGGAGCGTCTTCACGTCGTCTACAATTAGCAATTTAGATTGCACGATTTGATAAAGAATTGACGACACAGCGTCGGTTTGAACGAACGGTACTATGGCAGCCACTATAGTCTTAGAACACAAGATAGGAAGAGTTAGGAAGAGTTACGAGTTGGGAATGACTCCCAGCTCCTACAAACCCCAAGAGCCGAGGTACAGTGATGTGGAACAGTGCCACACTGTCCTCAACCACGAAGGGTCTCGAAACTACCCTTCACTAGGGCCTACACTAAGTGAAATGTTACACTACACAAAGTAATGTAACTATCTTCAATATCTTGAGGTGTACCCTTTTGGCGAGCTTCGAAATCACTTGAGGCTTGACACCAAGGCTCGGGCTCTTCATCACAAACTCATCCTTGAGTTCTTGATGGGTCTGCTGCACACACCTGCGACACGCCGAACGTTCGACACAGGACAAAATAGAAACCGCGCACGACAAAATAGAAACCGCGCGCGAGACACAAACGACCGCGTAACACGCGTCTAGCGATAACTCGCTATTGACTCGACACACACACTCGACATCATGACTCAACATTCACATACAATTATAAGCATGAAATATATATTATCCCATGCCCTCATACCATTCCATACACACACACATGCACGCACACGGACAACAAGCCGAGTGCAAACCGTAGGGTTGCACCAACAAGCCAAGAGGGGCTTGACGGGGAAAACAACACGATGACAGTGACGACGACGTTATCGAAGTTACCAGCGCCCACGACTACGGTCGCCTCGCCTACGAAGAAACCAATGAAACTGCCATCTGCATCCTTGGGCTCGTAGTCGCAGTTCGCCACGCCTCACCCAAGAAACCCACCACTGTGCACCAGGCCCTGTCTGGGCCCGATAGCACGATATGGAAAGCAGCCATGGCGGCTGAAGTAGCAGCACTGAAGCGGTGCGGAACCTAGAAACTGGTTCCTCGATCATCTGCAAAGGGGAGAAAATTATTAAGCAAAAAATGGGTCTTCAGAATCAAGACACTCGCGGATGGGTCGATCAACAAATACAAGGCAAGACGGGTGGTGCGCGGCTTCGAACAAACTCACATGGTGGATTATGACCAAACCTTTGCACCTGTCGGCCGGCATACCTCAGTGTCGCATTCTCATCTGCATCGCAGCCGTCAAGCAGCGCCCACTCCAGCAAATCGACGTCTCCAACGCGAACCGTACGCAATCGTCGGCGCCATCATTTTCGTAGAGCGGCCGCACGCATTCAAAAAAGGTGACGGCGCCGTCTCCATCCTCCAGAAGTCTCTCTACGGCATCAAACAAGCGCCTCGCCTATGATTGGAGTACCTGCACACCGTCCTCACCGAACTCGGCTTCGCCTAGCTGCCGCATGACCAAGGCATGCACTGGAAGGAAACATACAGGAAGTTTATTCTTCTCGTCGCGTACGTCGACGACTTGCTATACACCGCCGACGACACGGAACTGCTCGATCGCTTCAAAGCAGAAATGAAAGAGAAGCTGCAAGTGACAATCAACCACAACGTCACGCAATTCCTGGGTCCCAACATCACCCAGTCCGCCACCTCCATCCACCTCTCCGCCGCGGAAACACTTGCGAAAATTCGCGATCGCCTCGATCAACCTAACAACCCTCTTCTGTCAGAATCCCAGCCACTAGACCACAGGGATAAAAGGGCTTTTTAAGTAGCGGGTCAGTGCGCCCATAACTCCCCAGGACAACAAGCCTGTAACCCTTCCCTAGGATCAATCTGTCAGAATGTTATTATCTAGCCTGTAGTGGGGTGCTCTATAGCGAGTACAACCCTGTTAGGGTTTGCTATATGTATCCCAACTGCTGCTAGTGAAACCCTCCTTTCTTCATTTCTCTCTTGCCTAGCTAGCTAAACCCTAGCTATGGCACCTCACTGTGCCTACTATCTCAACACAATCGGGGATCACCAGTGGACCTCTGACACCCCCCCGTACTGGGATGCCCGAAGTACACACACCGGGATTCGAACCCGAGACCTTCGCTCTGATAACATGTCGGAATCCCAGCCACTAGACCACTGGGATAAAAGGGCTTATTAAGTAGCGGGTCAGTGCACCTATAACCCCCCAGGACAACAAGCATGTAACCCTTCCCTAGGACCAATCGGGGATCACCAGTGGACCTCTGACACCTTCCGCACTCCTCCTAATCACGAACCCGACACCACACCGCTCTCCATCGAAGATCATCGGCTCTATCAGCAGCAGCTGGGATGTCTCCTGTTCGCCGCCGTCACGAGGCCGGAGCTACGTCGCAAGCCAGCTCGCATAGTACCTGCGTCGACCTGAAGGGGAGAATCTGCTAGACCTACGCCGATCATTTCGATACTTCATCTCTACTCCTGACGTCGGACTGACCTACACGGCCAACTTATCAGCTACCCTACAGCTTCACGGCTACGTAGATGCGGACCATGCAGGAGATGTTGACAACAGACGCTCCCGCACAAGCTTCATTTTTCAACTACAACCTGCTGGACTCGTCTCGTATATCTCTTAGAAGCTGGAACTCATCGCTCTTTCGTCAACCAAAGCTGAGTTCATCGCAACCAGTGCAGCTGTTCGCGAAGGACTATACGTGATGGAGCTCGTACAGGAAGCGAGAGTGACAATGAACGGGCACTTCACGTTACCCTGCAACAACCAGAGCGCGATGAAGATCCCGAACAAGCACATCGCACTTCGTTAGTTCTTCATCAAAGACAAGATCGACAAGGGCAAAGTCAAACTCTCGTATTGCCCAACTGGCGACATGGCAGCAGATTTCCTGACAAAGAAGCTGCCATGTCAGAAGTTTCAGCACTGCGCCGACCTCTGCGGGATCTCGAAGAAATCGCACGTGGCTCACCTTCAGGAATGAAGGGGAGTGTTGGAATAACCAATGGTTAAAATAACATTCTCGAATGCTTCCCTTAGCGCATCGCTTCATAACGAGGCAGCGCTCCTGTACAAATGTCGCGTTAATCTCGAATAAAACACGCAGTACCCTGAAAGTCACTCAAAGGTCAACAGTCGCAGGAGCGATTGTTAACCGCCCAGTAACTGTACTCGGAAGTTACATGATGCAATCTGGTGACTGTCGAGTAGAGTAATAGGCGCGGTTACTGTAGCAATGTAATATCGTTAATAGGGGGAATGTACCCCTAAGAATACATGGCTAACTAGGATTGCTATTTATATCCTTGTACTTCTATCTTAAGATTATCTTGTTCTCTCTCAACTATTATTAACAAGGTCATTAGAAAGACCTCAACAGTCTTCTCACAAACTGGCTAGCTTATCCTACGCACTACGATTCTTTGGTACGGTTTATCATCATTTTAGTTGACTGGAATTTCAGCCTTTACAAAATTATATATATAAAGCCTAAGGCCCAAAGTACCCCTTATTATCAGACTTTTTTTTTCCGAAATCAGCGTGAAACATTTGAGTTATAGGAGGCCTGTTAGAATTCCTTGAAGAAGGATAATCGCATGGAGGTTCATTTCTAGCATTACATCTCGGAGCACTGTTTAGCGGAGCCCAGAATTTGGCGAAGGTCATCCCGAAGACCAGGCAAGCATCGTCGTCAAGGCAAGCAAGCAAGGCAGGGTTGGGTTGGAAGAGTCACATCCCGCCAATAGCCGTGCTGTGTCACCGCCACACCGCTTCATGTCTGCTGGATCGTCGTCATCCTGCTCGTCTTCATACGTATCACCAGCAGCGGACGTAGGAGTCTCGAAGGTTTTTATTCCGGTAGTTGTCAGGCGCATCGCGGGAACTGCTGAACAGGATGCAATGGTTCGGTGTAAGCACGAGTAACGAGATTGGGGAGCAATACCGAGGTGCGCCGTCGTGCGCCGTCTCGTCCACCACCTGCATCGCCTTCTGACACTCATGACTCTCGCGGATGCACTCTCTAGCGGCAATCGTCATCAATCTCTGGCCAGTCCCGCGGTGCGCGGCGCATTCCGTGCGCTGACTAGCTAACGAACCCCTGTCATAGTCACAAGCATGCCGTCTCGCCTCGCCTCGCGCCGTCGCCCGCCATTAGCAGACGGTTTCAGCTTCGATCCGCATCGCTCATCTGGACCCTCGTCTGTCTGTACGGACCAGCTCCCGGTTTCGCTCGCGATTCTATCGGATCCTTTAGCCAGTTAGCCAATCAGCAGCTAGCGCGCAACACGCGGCGCAGCAGCAGTCAGCGGCGCGTCTAGGGCTCCGTGTCGCGCCGATTTAGGGCCTTAGGTGGGCCACAGCGCGTCGAGAACGAGGTTTAGGGTTTCCTTCCGGAATACATGGTCCGTGGTTGCGCTCTGCCCTGATTCCGCCTTGGATGGTGCCGAGGCGAAGAAATTTATCCGCTTTTTCGACTCCCCCACCTCTCCCCCTAACCCCCCGTCGCTCCGCGCCAGCTGCGGTTCTTCGCCGTCCACGCCGCATCCGTCGATGTCAAAGCAGCCCGCACTGGCTGACTGCTTTCTATCGCGAAAAGGGAATCTGCAGCTAGTGCTGCGGTTGACTCACGTTGGCAGTCGTTATTTCCGCTGCGGGGAAGTGACGCAGCGCAGCATCGCACAGCGTAACAGAGTGACCGCGTAGCAGCGTAACGTAATCCTCCACACACGGTCGCCCTACGCGCGTCAGCCAGTGCCCGTTCCTCGCACACTGTCGCGGCCTGCATGGCGCATCAAGGTGACGGCAGCGCGGGAGCAGGCAACGAGGCTCAAGCAGCGGCAGCAGCGGCGCCCGTGTCTGACACGTACGCCGCTTACTACCAGAACATGGCGCTGCACTACGCGGAGCAGCAGCGACTGGAGCAACAGCAGCAACAGCACCAGCAGCAAACGGCGGCGTACGGGCAAGGCTCGTCGTATGATGCTTGGTATGCATACTCGTATCAGCAGCAACAGCAACAGCAACAGCAGCAGCAGCAGCAGCAGCAGCAGCAGCAACAGCAGCAACAGCAACAGCAACAGCAGGCTCAGGAAGTGCAGGTACGATTGCAGATGCCGATGCTCCGGTAACCTAGCTCGCCACACCGCAACTCGCACCGTTCACGCATTCGCATGCTCTGGCTTCCGCAGTCAGACCCTCGACTGTGCTTCGCCATGCAACTCCTCCCCTTCCTCCCTCCCCCCTCCTCTTGTCCCGCACTCCTTATCCACGCCCCTTTCCCCCCCTCCCTGTCGCACTCTCGTTTTCACACACGCACTCGGTAATACGCCCCACATCGTGCACCTGATACCATCTCCGTGCCATCCCCACACCCATGCGCCGCTTCCCCTTCCCAGGATCCAGCAGCAGTGGCAGCAGCAGCCGCAGCAGCATACGCACACTACTCTGCATACCCCTATCCTTCGCCCCAGTCCTATCCGCCCGCTCCCCCTTCCGCCCCAACCCCTCCTCCTGGGGCCCCGTCCCCCCCCACTCCCCCCACTGACCAACCGGACGACATTGCTCCCCCTGGCGCGGAACCCCTTGCTGCTCCTTCCGCCACCACCGCGCCCACCTCCTTCCCCTCCCCCTATTACTACACCCCCGGATCCGTCCTCCCGCCTCCTCCCCCAGCAGGCGGGGCGGAACCCGCCCCACCTCCGCCCCCGCCCCCTTCTGCGTCCCCGCCCCCGCTGCCTCCCCCACCACCCCCCCCTGCACAGCCAGCAGCAGCAGCAGCGCAGGATGGGGCAGCAAATTGGAGGTACGGGGGGGAGGCGCAGGAGCAGCGACAAGGTGGGCAGCAGGCCATGGCGGGTAGTCAATATGCACAGCAGCAGCATGAAGCGGGGGTGGCAGCAGCAGCATATGTGCCTGTGGCCCCAGCGGGTATATGGTGGAACGGACAGTGGCACCCAGCACAGGCTCAGGCACAGGCACCCGCAGCAGAGCATGCAGGCGCAGCACAGGCAGAGGCGCATAGCCATGTGCAGGCTCAGGCGTATGGGGAGTACCCTTCTGCTGCTGCTGCCTATGCCGCTGCCTATGCCGCCTCTGCTGCTGCTGCCAGCACTGCGCCGGCTGCTGCATCAGCAACAGCCAATGAGGCAGGCGGTGGTGGGGCGGCAGGTGCAGGGGCGGGGCAGAATGGCAAGGCGGGTCAAGGGGCGGAGGGCAGTGCACCGTACTTCAAATGGCAGTACACCAATGCACAGGTACTGCTGCTCCTGCTCCATGCTGTCGCAACCACGTTGTATGTATTGAACAGCAGTGTTAGCAATAGGGTAGGCACAGTGCCGCAAGAGACACGAGTCTGTGCTGTGCATGTGCCTGTGCGCGTATGTATTGCTGCTGGCTTCCTGATTCGTTCTGCCCTGCCTCCTCAGCTTGGAGCAAGCGAGTGAGTATGTGTCTGTCGGCAAGAAATAAAGTGGTTTCCTATTCTTCCTCTTTCGCAACCCATTTGTTTTGTCATCACTCATCACCACCATACCACCACCACCACCACCACCACCACTACCACCACCACCACCACCACCACCACCACCACCACCACCACCACCATGGGTCCCACCCACACGAGCAGGCTCAAAGAAAGCAGCAGCAGCAGCAGGTGAAGGCAGCGAGCAGCGTTCTGCAGTCCAAGTTCCACATCCCCTTCAACCCCCGCTTCGCCTCCACTCCCACCTCCGCCTCCTCTGCTGCCACGGCAGCAGGAGGGAGAGGCGGCACGGAGGGCAGCAGTGAGCGCGGGGCGGGGGGGCAAAGGGGTGGGGTGGCGTATGTGTCTGTGGAGGAAGGGGCGGGGAAGAAGGCCACGAGTGTGGACGAGGCTGCTGATGCTGCCATCCAGGTGCGGTGCGGTGCGGTGTGTGTTGGAATGGCAGGTGCCTGTGTGTGCTAGCCCTCTGTGCACATGTGCTTGGTGTGCATTGACAAACATCTGTGCCTGTGTGCATGTGTATGGGCACGCGCACACACGTATGTGTATGTGGGTATTGGGGTAGACCGGGTGTGCGTTTGCACAGGGAACGGCATGCCATGGCATGTGTCATGGCACTGAATCATGCTTCCTTCCTCTTCCAACAACTTGCCCACACTCTCCGCCTCTTCTATTTCCTGCAAATCTCCTCCGCCCTTCGCCCCTCCCTCCTTCCGTCTTCCATGCTCCAACGTGCATGACCTCTCTCCTCTCGCGCCTGCCACACCACACGAGCACAATGACCAGCCGGGCAAGTTCCCCCCGGGGCTAGCAGCGTATGTGGAGCGGGTGCTGGCGCGCTGCACCACAGCGCAGCACAAGGAGGAGAGCCAGCGACTCATGAAGCAGGTGCTCTGCCGGGAGGGGGCATGCGCCGCCGCCGCCGCTGCTGCTGCTGCTGCTTCTGCTGCCGCTGCTGCTGTTGTTTGTCCATGATGTGTCTATGTGTGTGTCTGTGCGTTCTGTGGGCATCAGTGCCATCATGCTGTGCACTACGACCCTGGTATTCTCATCTCTTTTTGCTTGTGCGACGCATGTGCCTGGAGCGCATGTCATGCTCTTGTTCAAGGGTGGATCAAGTGACCAGTACGCTTTATTTACATCCCTCCCCAACCCTCCTCTCCCTCCCCGACTTGCCCTTGCTTTCTGTTCCCACTCCTCTTCCGTCGTCCCTTTCACCCTCATGTTCTGTTTCCCCCACCCTCCCCTCTGCCCCTCCCTGCCATGCTCTCTGTGCCGTGACGTGGCATGGTACCACTGGGTGTGGTGCGGTGTGGTGTGGTGCGGTGCGGTGCAGATGATAACGGAAGCAGCGCGCAACGGCACGTTGTTCACCAAGAACTGGGACACGGAGCCGCTGCCCTCGCTGCTGCACACCGCCCCCGCCCCCACTGCCACCACGTGAGTCCACGCCACACCAGCTCGCCATGCCTGTGTAGCTCTCACCTGCCTCATAGCTCCCTCTTTTTGCCTCTCTTTCCCCTGCTCCCGTTCTTGTCCCTCCGTTTTCACCCAGCACCTCACCTGTGCTGTCTTGTGGTATTCTTACTCCTTCCCCGCTCCCCCCGGTTCTCCCACTCGCTCCACTCTCCCCACTCGCCCCACTCTCCCCACTCGCCCCACTCTCCCCACTCGCCCCACTCTCCCCACTCGTCCCACTCGCCCCACTCGCGCCACTCGACGCACTGACACAATCGCCCCTCGCCCGTCCCCCAGAACCCCATCGAGTGCGCTGCCATCGGCGTCGTCCCCCACGCCCTCGCGCAAGGCCAAGCGGTCGCGCTGGGGAGACCCGCTCGACCAACCCACCTCGCCCGCTGCTGCCCCCTCGCCCATTCAAACTGTATGCATTCCTTTACTGAGCTCCCTTGTTGCTCCTTTTCCACCACTCCTGTCTTTCTTTTCTTTCTTTTCCCTTTTTCCCGAACCCCCTTGTGCGATCCACAGCCTCACCCCTGCCCATGCTCCAACCTCTCCCTGCCCTCCAGTCCCCGTGGTTTCGTGCCTCAAACCAGCAGCAGCAGCAGGGAGGGCGGGGAGGGAAGGGCAGGGCGAGCAGGTGGGCGCCTGACAGTGCAGCAGCCGATACAAGCACACCAGGGGGGGTAGCAGCCGCAGTCGCGGCAGCTGTGGCAGCAGCAGCAGCCGTGGCAGCGGCAGCAGGGAGGGGGCCAGCAGCAGCAGGAGCAGCAGTGGGAGGGGGGGCAGTGGGCATGGGGGACGCGGACAGGATAGCGGAGGAGCTGAAGGAGGGATACTTTGCAGGCAGTGGCGGCGCGTTTGGTGCGGGCGTGAACGAGAGCGCAGGGGAGAAGGCACGGCGGTTGCAACGAGCGGCCAGGTTCGAAGGCACACTGGGACAGGACGAAGAGGGCTTGGGGAAGGGCGATGGCAAGGGAGCAGGGAGAGGAGGGGGAGGCGGTGGGAGGGGAGGCAAGGCCGGGAAGGGAGGGAGGGGTGGGGGCGGGGCAGTGGCAGTGGCGGTGGGAGGGGCTGGGGCTGTGAGAACGTCGATTCGAAGAGCCAAGGCGCACTCGCTGGCGCTGGCGCGTGCTGTGAGGCAGGGGCGCGCTGCTGCTGCGGCGGCGGCTGCCGCTGGTGGTGGGGTGGGGGTGGGGGGCGGGGCAGTGGAGGACATGGACTGGGACATGCTGACCATCAAGGGCACGTGCAGGAAGGTCGAGAAGAGCTACCTGCGCCTCACTGCTGCTCCCGACCCCTCCACTGTATGCCCGCCCCGCCCCGCCCTGCCATGCCCTGCCACGCTGCTGACTCCTGCCGTGCCGTGCCGTGCCGTGCCGTGCCGTGCCGTGCCGTGCCGTGCCGTGCCGTGCCGTGCCGTGCCGTGCCGTGCCGTGCCGTGCCGTGCCGTGCCGTGCCGTGCGGTGCCGTGCTGTGCTGTGCTGTGCTGTGCTGTGCTGTGCTGTGCTGTGCTGTCTTGTGCCGTGTTGTGCTTTGCTGCGTTCTTGCCATCATGCGCCATGCTATGTTTGTCTCTGCACCGTACGATGTCAGTGACCCGTGCCATTTCCTCTCCCCCCAGGCTCCCTTCCACTTCTCCCCCTTTCCCTTCCTCCTGTCTTCTCCCTTTCCCTTCCACCCCTCCCTTCCCCCCCTCCCCTTCCATTTCACTTCCCTCTCTCCGCTCCCCTTCTCCCTTGCGCCTCATCCTCCGCGCCCTCGGCCGTGCCAGGTACGACCCCTGGACGTGCTACAGGAGGCACTGGCCATGGTGCTGGCAGCGCACTCGCAGGGGGGCGCGGAGGATGAGGAGGCGGGGGTGGGGGGGCAGGGCGGCAAGCGCGGGTACCTGTGGCGGTGCGACCAGCTGAAGAGCATTCGGCAGGACCTCACGGTGCAGCGCATCAGAAACGAGTTCACTGTGCAGGTAAGAGGTGGCAGAGGGTGGGGAGGCTGTGCTGACGAGTGGACTGGCAAGATGGCTGGGAAATGCCTGTTGGGGGAATGACGGAGTGGTTGTGCCGGACTGGGTTGGGGGGATGGGGAGGGCTTGACGGGCAGGGGTGGGGAGGGCCTGAGGGGCAAGGATGGGGAGGGTGGTGGAGGAAGGGTGTGGCTGTGCGAGGAGAGGGGGTGAGAACGGGGGGTTGTGCATCAATGGTTAGGCGCCAGCGGGCTCTGTTTCCCTTGCCCTCGTTTGTTCTTTTCATTTCTGTGCATGTGTCTTGTCTGTGTGTGTATGTTTGCACGCGTGTGTGCGTGCGTGTCTGTGCGTGTGTGTGTGTGGCCGTGTGTTGGCCTGACCGGCAGGTGTATGAGGTGCATGCGCGCATGGCGTTGGAAGCGGCTGACATGCCCGAGTTCAACCAGGTACCCTCCACCACACCACACCTGCCCCTCATGCACCTTCACTTCCACCTACTCGTACACCGGCATCTGCTGCTACGGCTAGGGAGGGGTAGTTGCCTGTGCGCGGGGCAGGACGTGCCGTGTTTGTGTTTCTTCTCTCCATTCACAGCAGCCTTATCTCCCGTTCCTCATCTTCCCTGTGAAGCGCGACCTGTCTGCCACGTCCTCTTCCTCCTCCTCCTCTTCCCCACCACATTCTCCTCACCCACTTGCATCCCTCCCACATACGCTGCCGCCACTTCCTTCCTCCTCTCAAGCCTCCCTTTCCCCGTGCCTCGTGCCTCCTGCTGTTCTCACTGCCCTGGGAGCGAGCGCGTGCAGTGCCAGGCGCAGCTGAAGGGGCTGTACGCAGAGGGGTGGCGCGGGCACAGGGGCGAGTTCCGCGCGTACGCACTGCTGCACAACGTGCTCTCGCAAGGGCCCCGCTACGACCTGCAGCATGCCATCGCCAGGTGTTGGGGGGGGTGTGGAGGGTGTTTGGCTGGCGTGCCGTCCTGCTGGAGCGTGTATGTGTGTCTGCAGTGCGGGCACATGCATGCATGCGAGTGTGTGTGTGGGCTGCTTGTGGGACAAGAGGCTGTGTGTGGTATGGTGTATGTGCTGTGTGTGCGCGCTGTTCAGTGTGTGTTGGGATGAGAGAGCGTGCGTAAAGGCAAAGTGTGCTGTGTGTGTTTCCTGGCTTGCGTGTTGCGTGTATTGCCCAGAGTGTGTTTTTGTTTCGAGGTAAGCGCAAGGGAAAAGGATGTTCAAGCGCACGAGTTTTCCTGCGTTTGAGCGCGGTGCTCTGTGCCTTAAAGTGCGGGTATGGTTTCATGTGACTGAGCACGGTGTCAGCATATTCGAGTGCAGGCATGGTTGCATGCGTACACGCTTTTTGAAGCAAGCAAGCAGCAGGTGAGCACACACAAGGATCAGCACCCCATTCTGTCCCGCCTCTCCTTGCCTGACCCCTATCCCCCTCCGCGCCCCCCTCCCCCTCATGGTTCCGTGCCCCCAGGGTGACCAAGGAGGAGCGGCAGGACAGCATCATGGCGCATGCGCTGAGAGTGCGCGAGGCGTTCAGCCGGCGTGACTACAGCAAGTTCTTCTCACTCTACCGCCATGCACCCACCCTCATCCAGCTCCTCATGGGTGCGCTGCCCTGCGCACTCGCTCCTTACCCATCCGTCCTCAACACATACGCGTGCACACGCACATACGCACACTCCCACAAGCACATATGCACCTTCCCACACGCATACACACACACACACACTCACACACACACAAGCACACACACACACGCAACCACGCACACACGCACGCACACACACACACACACGCACACACGCACGCACGCACCCACACACACAGGCACACACACGCACACGCGCACACGCACACGCGCACACGCACACGCGCACACACGCAGGCGCACGCAAGTAGAGAAGGTTGTGCGGATGATTGGTCGTGCGCACGAGCAGTCATTTGCACTCATTGTTGCTGATGCCGTCCCCTTCACATGCACCACCACCCAAGCAGCACCCCATGCCCAGCGACTCATCGCCCATCTCCTGGCTCTTCAACGTTCTCTCGCTTCGCAGTCCCATTCACCCACTTCCACCCTGCTCTGCATTACCGACCACCCCTTTCCAACTCGCGCTCATAAGTACCTCAGGGACATTTGTGCTGCGGAGAGCCGGTCTCACACTCCCACCTTTCTCCCTGCCCCCGCCCACCTTCGCTCCTCCCCCCTCCCTCGCCGACTTCCCCCCTCCAGACATGCAGGTGGAGAAGCAGCGGTTTGAGGCGGTGCAGAGCATGGCAAAGGCGTACCGGCCATCACTGCCCGTGCAGTACATCTCACACGTGCTGGCGTTCGGGGATAGTCGTGACGACAAGGATGCCGCACAGC